TGCTGTATGTGGGACGCGGCCTCAGCATGGCCGGACAAGTGGTGCATCAGTGCACGCCCGGGATCCAAACTCGGGCCACCAGTAGCGGAGTGCGCACACTTAACTGCTAAGCCATGGGGCCAGCCAAAGTCAGTGGTTTTCAAAGTGTGATCTGGGGACTCTAAACACTTTCAGTGGGTCTGTGAAGTCAAAATGATTTTCATAATAATACTAAGATTTATTTGGCTTTTTAACTTTCAGCTTCTCATCCGTGTTCAGAGAAATTTTCTAGAGGCTACATGACGTGATATTGCAACAGATTGAATAAAGAAGCACATGAGAATGTAGCTATGTTCTATTAGGCTGGTCTTTTAACAAATTTGGAAAAATGTAGAACAATGCCACTCTTCTCACTGATATTTTTTGTTTTGGAAAGTGTCTTTCTTTGTGTGTGTGACAAAGATCAGCCCTGAGCTAACACATGCTGCCAATCCTCCTCTTTTTGCTGAGGAAGATTGGCCCTGGGCTAACATCCGTGCCCATCTTCCTCTACTTTGTATGTGGGACGCTGCCGCAGCATGGCTTGATAAGCGGTGCATAGGTCCATGCCCAGGATCCAAACCTACAAACTCCAGGCCGCCAAAGCAGAGTGTGCAAACTTAACCACTATGCCACCCGGCTGGCCTGGGAAATTGTCATTTTTTATAAGTATATGTCATTTATGTTAACATTTGATGGATTTAATGTGGTTTATTTGTTGTTGTTGTCTTTTTTTCCTGAGGAAGATCAGCCCTGTGCTAACATCTGCCAATCCTCCTCTTTTTTTGCTGAGGAAGACTGGCCCTGGGCTAACATTCATGCCCATCTTCCTCCATTTTATACGGGATGCCGCCACAGCATGGCTTGTGAAGTGGTGCGTCGGTGCGCACCCGGGAACCGAACCAGTGAACCCCAGGCCCCCGCAGCAGAGCGCGCACACTTAACTGCTTGTGCCACCAGGCCGGCTCTGGATTTAATGTTTTTAAATGTTAAATGAACATTTTAAAACTCTTTC